TCTTCTTCTTCTTCTTCTTCTTCTTCTTCTTCTTCTTTCTTCCATCATTCATTCTTTTTCTTCTTCTTTCTTCCATCATTCATTCTTCTTCTTCTTCTTTCTTCCATCATTCATTCTTTTTCTTCTTCTTTCTTCCATCATTCATTCTTTTTCTTCTTCTTTCTTCCATCATTCATTCTTTTTCTTCTTCTTTCTTCCATCATTCATTCTTTTTCTTCTTCTTTCTTCCATCATTCATTCTTTTTCTTCTTCTTTCTTCCATCATTCATTCTTTTTCTTCTTCTTTCTTCCATCATTCATTCATTCTTCTTCTTCTTCTTTCTTCCATCATTCCTTCTTCATCTTATCCTTCTTCTTTCTTCCATCATTCCTTCTTCATCTTATCCTTCTTCTAGGAACTGAAATTCTATATTAATGACATCATTATTAATGTCTAAAAACTCGACATTTCGAAATCATCACATTGACGAAAACACTGCCACTACGCCGCACAAATTCCTACAATGTGTATGAGGACAAATTCCTACAATGTGTATGAGGACAAATTCCTACAATGTGTATGAGGACAAATTCCTACAATGTGTATGAGGACAAATTCCTACAATTTGTATGAGGACAAATTCCTACAATGTGTATGAGGACAAATTCCTACAATGTGTATGAGGACAAATTCCTACAATGTGTATGAGGTCTTACCATCTAGGAAAGCACCCACTCATTTACTAGACCTACATTATTAGCGATTCCGTCTCCGCTCAGCAAAATGCCGGGCAAAAAAAAAAGCAGAACCAGAAATAAAACACGACAAGACAAGTACCATTGATCATATAAGAAAAGCAAACACGTCTTTTTACCCACAAAGAGATTTTACCCAATTTTGGTTAGCATGGAAAAAAACCCCGTTGCAAACACGTCTTTTTATACACAAAGAAGTTTTACCAAATGTGAGGCAGCGTGGTGGAATCAGGCTCTCGTCAAAATAATCAAAGTGAACAAACTTGCATTTTTCCGCAGGTTTGTGAATTTGTATTAACTTTTTGTTTTTTGGCTCAACACCTTTCATGCCCATTAAAGAACTCATTTCCGTGTGGATTTTTCTGAAAAACGTTGATTAAAGGCACAACAAATGTAAATTTTCAGTTACCACAGACTCTTAAGCTAAGGAAATAACGAATCTTAGACGGCCATTTTCTCGCTAATTTTACCTCTGAAAACAAGTGACCCCCACCTCCTTCTTTCACAAATATCTCGACTTGTATTCAAGATAAATGGATATTTTTTTTCAACCAAATAAAGACAAGTGAACAAGCTTAAAGATGATACCAATTACTCTACATGCCCAAAAATTGACGAGAGCCTGATTCCACCACGCTGCCTCACAATTATATACACGAAGAAGTTCTACCAAATCTCAGTAGGCACGAAAGAAAAAAAAACCCAACCCCGCAGCAAAAAGCAAACAGTCTGTGGACAAATATTAGCACAGTAATCATCTCTCTTCTGTCGTCCCATCCCTTGACTGCAGTCTCTTCCTCCATTTATTCGTATCTGTCATTCTATCTGTCCATCTATTTGATCTGCCTGTCTGCCCCCCCCCCTCTCTGTCTCTCTCTCTCGCTCTTTCTCTCTCTCTCGCTCTCTCTCTCTGTCTGTCTCTCTCTCTCTCTCTCTCTCTCTCTCTCTCTCTCTCTCTCTCTCTCTCTCTCTCTCTCTCTCTCTCTCTCTCTCTCTCTCTCTCTCTCTCTCCCAAAACGATGGGTCGATGTTCCCAAGACACACATTTCGACATTGTCTGTTCCAGAACTTGCCACGCAGAACACATCACACATCAGCGACCCTCCCCCACCCCCACCCCCAACACCTCACTCCCAAGTTTACAAAAGAGAGGACAGGAGGAGTGAAAACAATAGTACTGTCTGGTACTTTTTTTTAAAAAATGTTTTACAGCGCTCACAACCGCAAAAGGCCATGTAAGTGCGCGGGACACATGATCAGTATGGTAGGAAACATATTCAGTTAAGTAGGAATTCATTTTAAAATTTTGCCTGGGTGGCGGCCGAGGCCTACTCTATCGATTCTGGACCACTAAGGGATCTTAAACGTGCGCAACTTCCACGTTTACAGAAGAGAGGAGAGGAAGTGAAAACAACAGTACGCTCTAGTACGGGTTTTTACCCTTTTTTCAAACCGGAAACAGCTATCACAAATTATTTTCAGTTCAAACGTACGTGTTTTAAGCCCGTTGACAAAAATGACAAATTTGACCATCTGGGAGGTGAGGTTCTGCCGTCTATCAGGGCCAACCCCGGCTGAGTAGGATACATCGTCCCTTTAGAAAGATCGAGAACGTCAGCTTCATAAAAATTATCTCCTCGCAGGAGGAATCAGACAGAGGTCTTCTGCTTGCAACGGCGTATAGCGGGGGTGCCCACTACGGATGGGAAAAAAAAAATTAAAAAAACCAAACGTGTTTGTTTTCAGTTTCAGGCGACCGAGTCGGTCGATTGGCCCGATCCAGCCGTAGTGGGCACCCTGAATAACTGCTACATTACACACGCCAGTATAGGCTATTATATCTGTGGCGTCGGTGGCCTAGTGGTTTGGCTCTCGGACTCGCAACCGTAAGGATCCCGTCAGGGGCCCGACGTTGTGTCCTTGGGAAAGGCACTTTACACAAATGTTCCTCACTTCACCCAGGTGGGAATGGGTACCCGGCTTCTATAGACAGTGGAAGATCTTGTCAGTTTGTTAGTGTTTGAGTGCGTGAAATCCGCAGCTTGCACTGTATGCTTCCGCGGAAGCTGAGAATGTTTCTGAGTGTTCTCAGAGGGTCTGCTGGGGTAATAATAGTTGTAAAGCGCATAGAGCATGTTCTTGAGCATGGATATGCGCTATATAAATGCAATTATTATTATTATTATTATTATATAGTTCAAACCATCTCCAGTATGACCAAACCAAATAGGACAGCCTAGAAGACTCCCCGGATCACCCCAAACGCTCCACTGAAGATTCAAACCAGAGCAATCAGCAGCAGAGCCCAACAGCGGGGACGCCGCTGAGATTTTGTTAAAACAACTGAACATTTACCGAGACGCATTTGTGAACAAAAAGACAGTTCTTTTATAAATAGGACGCGACTGATATGGGGCAAAACAAAATACATGTAATGCGGTGAATAACAACTGTTCTTACGGATTTGAAAAGGGATTCCAGTGAAAATAACGGAAATAACAAGAATGGGATGGGGGTGGGGGTGGAGGGGGGGAGGGATATAAACAGACCCAAAAAAAAACACAGAACAAAAACCTGGCGCCCAGCATGGTGATATCGACTGAGCTCACGGGGACCCAAACAAATAAACAAAACAAAACAACAAAGAAACAAAAAGAAAGGCGGGCAAACATTCCCAGGTGGCCACTGATAGGGGAGTCATTCGCTAAAACAACACGGCTAGTTCGATGACTCATGGCGGGGCTAATGATGAAGAGAAGAGAAATCAAACAGGATAAATCGTCAAACCGTTTAGTCCGGTTTTGATTTTTTTCATTTTTTAAACCAATTAATAATTTATTATTTTATTTATCTATCTACTTAATTTATTTTCTATGTTATTGTATTTCATTGTACTGTATTGTATTGGATCCACACGAACCGACACACACACACACACACACACACACACACAACACACACACACACACACACACACACACACACACACACACACACAAAAGTACTCACCACAGAGCGATGTTATACTACTACTCTCCTCATGGACAAACTTCCTGGTGACAGCCTCTTCCATGATCTGCTTCACCTGGGGACAACAGACAAAGGTACACATGAACTTGGGAAACCATTGTAACATCATTATTTTATTCTATTTTTAGTTTAAATGGGATGGGGGTGGGGGTGGGGGGTTACGGCGCGCACAACTGCATAAGGTCATATGAGCGCCAAGGGGTGGATGTCAACAGAGAAGTCCTTACAGGGAATCAGACTTACTCTGCTCACCTCTCTCGCTTCAACAGCACAAAGTCTGCTTCGACTATCAAGGCACCCCGGAAATAGCGGGTCACAAGAGTGTGGCAAACATACAAAAGAAGTAGAGGAAGAAATGACAATAGTAAGGATCAGGAAAGAAAAAGCAGCAGTTCCCTGTCGCAGACCAGGCACAGTTATGAGCGTGACATGTTGAATCTGCCCATTTACAATTCTACTGTACATGAACGAGAAATGTCCCCCCTTTGGGAATGGCCTAAAGACACTTCAGTCAGTGGCACCGCCCGGGGGGTATTATTCTATTTAAAGACCCGTTTTACAGACCACGGTGAAGCACATTAACAGTCCACATCAGCATCATCATAGTGTATTATAATGCAACCGTACAAGAACAATGATATGCACTTGTGAAACTATTACACACGTTTTATTCTATTTTAAAAGATCCGTTTTACCGACCACGGCGAAGAACATTAACAGTCCACAACAGCATCATCATATTGTATTATAATAATGCAGCCATCCAAGAACAATGATACACTTGTGAAACTACCACACAGATCTGTGTCACGACGTGGTGGAATCAGACGCTCGTCAATTTTTGAGCATTTGGCACTATTGGTATCAACTTTAAGCTTGTTCATTAAAAGTTGTCTTGCTTTCGGTGAAAATATCAGTTTTAGTTTTAGTAAGAGTTTTACGGCACTCGCAACTGCATAAGGTCATAAGAGCGCCAGAAGATTAGAGGTGTTACAAGAGAGTAACAAACACACAAAAAAAAGGAAGGGGGAGATAAGGACGACAGATGTTTGATAGGAAAGAAGGAGCAAACCACACCAGAGCACCCGCCAACCACCCACTGAAAATATCACCCTGCAGTCTTATACCGAAGTCGAGATATGTATTTGTGACCGAAGGAGGTGGGTGTCGTCTGGTGTCGGAGGTAACATTAGTGAGAAAATGAACGCCAAAATGTGGTGACTTCTAAAGCTTGAGAGTCCTTGAAAACTACAAATTTACATTTTTGAGTGTGCCTTCGATTAACGTTTTTCAGAAAAATCCACACAGAAATGAGTTCTTTAATGGGCATGAAAGGTTTTGAGCCAAAAAACAAAAATTTGATAAAAATTCACAAACCTGCGGAACAATGTAAGTTTCTTTACTTTGATTATTTTGACGAGAGCTTGATTCCACCACGCTGCCTCACATATAATAAAGCAGCCATCCAAGAACAATGAGACACTTGTGAAACAACCAGACAAATCGGAGTCACGACGAGGTGGAATCAGGCGCTCGTCAATTTTGGGGCATGATTGGTATCATCTCTAAGCTTGTTCATTTGTCTTGCTTTCGATGAAAATATTACCCAACTGTCTTGTATAGAGGTCAAGATATTTGTTGCCATTGAAGGCGGTGGGGGTCGTCTGGTGTCGGGGGTAACGTTAGTGAGAAAATGAACGCCAAAATTTGTTGACTTCTAAAGCCTGAAAATCCTTGGAAACTACAAATTTACATTTTTGAGTGTCTTCGATCAACGTTTTTAAAACCCACTCATAAATTAATGTGTCTTAAAATGGACATATAAGGTGTTGAAGTTTTTTTTTAAAAGGGAAACTTTTTAAAAAGTTGCTCAAATGGCCAGGAAAATGCCAGTTTCTTTGATTGCATTATCTAGACGACAGCTACATTTCCCCACGATGCCTTACATGAGCTTATACAATGCAGCCATACAAGCACAGTGATACACTTGTGATATTATTATTAAACAAACATTCTATTTAAAGACCCTTTTTACAGACCACAGTGGAACACATTAGCAGTCCACAGCAACATCATAATAATGCAGCCATACAGGAACAATGACACACTTGTGAAACTATTACACACATTTTTTATTGTGTTTAAACACCCTTTTTACAGACTACGGCGAGTGGGTGGTTGGCGGGTGCTCTCGGGTGATTTTCTCCTTCTCTCCTATCAAGCACTAATTGTCCTTATCTCTCCTCCCCTCGACCTCCTTTTTTCTGTTTGTTTTTCTCTTGTAACACCTCTAATCTTCGGCAAACATCTATCGCCCTTATCTCTCTTCCTCCTTTTTGTGTTTGTTCCTCTCTTGTAGCACCTCTAATCTACGGCTCTTCTATGACCTAATTGTGTTGCAAGTGCCGTAAAACTCTTCCCAAAACAAGACCACGGTGAGGAATTTGAAACCACAATAGCATCATACACATACTGATATGTATAATGCAGTCGTACAATAACGTTAAGGCCCCATCAACGAGCAAGAAAACATTGTATATTGTAATCTAATATATTTAATTATATATATATATATATATATATATATATATATATATATATATATATATATATATATATATAATATATAGAACTCTTCACTTCAAATTACTTATAGAATTGTTGTACCTTCTACCTTGACTACACATATCTGGCTATACATACCTACAGATGTCAGTGTAACCCTGTCTGCATATCTACAGCTATAGAGAAATATATATATATACACCAATAATGTGTACACAGATATAACGATACACTGTGTTGCATTTGTTATCGTAACGGTTCTATACCGCTAGAAACACAGATATATCAATATATATATATATATATCTATATACATTGTATAGAGTGTGTGATATATATGTGTGTATGTGTGTGTATATATGTATATAGAGTTATATAGAGTGTGTGTGTGTGTGTATATATGTGTGTGTGTGTGTGTGTGTGTGTGTGTGTGTGTGTGTGTGTGTGTGGTGTGTGTGTGTATGTGTGTGTGTGTGTGGTGTGTGTGTGTGTGTGTGTGTGTGCGTGCGTGCGTGCGTGCGTGCGTGCGTGCGTGTGTGTGTGCGTGTGTGTGTGCGTGTGTGTGTGTGTGTGTGTGTGTGTGTGTGTATGTGTGTCTGAGATGACTGTGAGATGACTTAAAGACGACATTGTGTTACAAGAGAGTAACAAACATAAAAAAGAAGATGTGGAAATAAGGACAATAGTTGTTCGATAGAAAAGAAAGAACCTTGAACCACACCAGAACACCCACTAACAACCCACTCCAGTCGATCACTCGAGTCTCCACATACAGGTATTCAGGTGGAAAAAGAATTTTTTTTTTTAAATCTGTACAACAACAACAACAGAAAGTAATATAAAACATAACCAAATAGGAATCTGATTTACAAGACTGGAATGAACAAGAACTTATGACATGACGAGATCTTCTCCTACAAAGTCAGTCAGTAATTCAAAATTGATACTATTACAAGGAAGCGCGTAGATAGACATTTCCTATATCAAAAGTAAAATCAAAATACACTACACAGTGAAAGTGTGTGTGTGGGTATATATGTAGACGGGGGGGGGGGGATTAACTGCAATCCTTTGCGAATTTCAGTTTCTTAGAAATGCCCCGGAAATCAAATACAAATTAGATATCAAAGTGTGTGCGTATAAGTTTGTGTATGCATGTTAATAAATAATGTTATGACACATTATAAAACGAGTTTGTTTTGTTTTTATACGACGTTTACAACCTTCGTCAAAGAACGTTGAATAATTCAGCGGGCGGAGAACTTTGGTATCACATCAGAACACAACATATCCAGTACCAGGGAGAAAATATTCAGGAAAGGCCAGTAAAAAGAAAAAAGAAAGAAAAAGAAAATCTGGCCCCATTCAGAGAAAACCTTTCCCGCTCCCTGTGTGTTTTTCACGTCTAAAGCAAACCGTGCATGAAGTTTTTTTGTGTGTGTTTAAAAAAAATACATAACATCAGTCCGTCCATAGAGCACGACTAGGGGGCTACAAAGAAAACAAAATACATAACATCAGTCCGTCCATAGAGCACGACTAGGGGCTACAAAGAACCGTATCGTCACGACATATGGCCATTTGTGAGGCATCGTGGTGAAATCAGGCGCTCGTGAAAATAATGAAATAGAAGAAATCAGTATTTTTCGACCAGTTTGGAATTCTGTCTTGAATTTCTGGG